GAGCTTGGAAAAGCGACCAGGTTTTGACAGCGGGGGTTCCGCTTGCAAATTACTACACATGCATGAAAGGTACGCGATGTGCGGACTACAGCTATGATGCTTTCTCCTACTGTTTTACATCGTGAATACAATGGTCGCGGTGTTGCAACCGTTCGTAGAGGTGCCCTAAAGCCTCAAGCCTATAGGCCTGTAGCCTCTTGACCCCAAACATCCGCACCCTGCACCGATAGCTTGGTTATTGACAAAGGAGGGGTGCTCATACACCCCAAAACAAAAGGCCCTTGAACCCTGAAAGCCTATGCTGCATGTCATATCCCGATCTCTTAGGTACACCGTACTATATACCGCTATAGAACCACTATAGAGCCCTTGTAAGGAACAACCAAATGTTTAACAGGTTTTGGTAAACCAACCCCCCAACTGAGGACCCGGTGGCTATCACATGATTCTTGCATGGTCTTTACGAGGATTTCCAAAATCGTTTCATAACCCCTATATGAACCCAGTTGCCATTTCATTTTCCATTTACTCTACATCATTTTCGCAGTTCGCGCTCCCAAATCCGTTTCATAAACCCTAAAACTTATACGGCATCCCTACATAATCCCCATGTAAACCCCATATCATCCACACGCAACCCCTATCTGAATAACATCCCCATGTCTTGATTCCCTTTTTAAAAGGCCTCCTAAACCCTAAGCTCTAGATCCTAAACCCTAAATTCCTGGACCCTAAACCCTTAACCCCTACACCCGAAACCCTTAAATCTTACTGCTTTAGCCTCATGGGGTTCGAGACCACAAGCAGCTTCCTTGGACTTAGGCCAAGAAGCTGGAGCAGGCTGGAGCACTGGAGAGATGTTTAGGTTTCAGGGTTTGGGGTTCAGGGTTTAGGGTTTGGGCTGCAGGGTTCGGGGTTTAAGGGTTTAGGGGTTGGTGTATATAGGGCGTAGAGCAGAGATTTATGAAATGATACTAGGGGTTTCTGTACGCACCACAAGTTCGGTGGTAAATACCGGAAAGATTGCCAGCATAGCCCGCAAACGGTAAGCTTGCGGTTTGGCGTTTTGGATTGCGCTTTTAGGGCTAGACCCTTTCGTCATGCCTTTGTGGAATGTGGGTTCCAGCGGGATTGTACTGGGGGTTACTTAAAACCCTATATAACCCATTATAGTAGTTTCCATTTTATTTTCGCTACCCCAATATAACCCAAATATAACCACAATATAGCCCCAACATAGCCCCGCACTGGTTTTCGTGTACGCAGGTCAAGGGGGCCCACGACACTGCTAAGCGTTCTTCTACGATCCCTCCTATAGTCTAAACTGTTTAAAGGGGGCTTATATCGGGACTTTTATACGGGACTACTATAGGGGTATATTAAGGGGGATACTATGAGTTTAGAGTATGGCTCATGTAGTGTGAACCCTTAACTCTGTATAGGCCCCATTAGTCAGCTTTGCCCCTCAGCCACTAATAGTGGCCAGCAAAGAAATGTCAATTATTCTCGAGCTCCGCTGTATCCTTGTTATACTAATGGAAACTACTATAATGGGGTTATATAGGGTATATACTGGGGTTAGATTGGGGTTATATAGGGATAATGGAAAATAAAATGGAAACTACTATAATGGGTTATATATATATTCAAGTATTAGCGGGTGGGGGGGGTAACCTCAGCTGCAAGAAGCCGATAATCCTTGAATCCAAAACTCTGATCCCGCAATATGAGCCCTTAATCCTGATTCCCTAGACATCATGAATCCCGAGCCCTAATCCCTAAACCCTGAAGCCCCACTCACGGTATACGCCCTGTACTTTTAGGCTGATGTGTGGTCATCTTAGAGGTTATGCATGCAATAACTGCAAGTATACCTTGACATGGGGTACTTTTAACCCAACCTATCGCGAAATCCTGCACCCCGAACCGCAAATTCCAAACTCAAAAGCCCACACCCCGAATACTGAAACTGTAAGCACACCCTGACATTTTAAGTACACCCTGAAATTTTGCAAAGGTCCTTGGCCAGGGTCTGAAGGTGAAAAAGTCAAAGCTGACGGCTGCTGGCCTGAACTTGGTGAGAGAGGGTAGGGTCTACTTAGAGGTTCGGTCGTCATAACCCGACTGTTAAGATAGTATACTATGGTATATTGTAGCAAGTAGTAGTACAATAGTATATGGTAGTATATTATTTGAGGGTTCAGGGTTTGGGGCTTGCCAACAAACTTTCATTCAACTGTGGGTGCTATAGGCGGCAGATTGCTGGGTTATGTGGTGAATCATTGTGTGCCCTTGCCATGTGAGCTATTGTCTATGTTAGCCTTATTAAGGGACCCTGACATTAGTAGCATGGTCCCTGTTATAGTCCCTGATAAGGGAACCCGTGTCCACTAATTTTGTGGGGAAATATTGACTGTAGCTCATGTAGCTCTCCTAATCTCTGGCTCATGTTTGAAGCGAAGGAGGCAGGAGATTGCTTCTCGTCTTGACATTCAGTGTTGGCTCTGTAACATTTGGTAGTTTCCCAAAGTAAGGGGACCCAATGTAGACCCCAATATATTAGAATCCTTACTATGGGGACCCCCAACGACCCTAAAACCTAAAACCTACATTTTGGGTAACCACATTTTCCATTTTCCAGAGCAGACTGCAGGGTGCATAAGAAGCGGCTTCACTGCGAAGCTGCGGCCGTGGTGGGAGCAGTCTAGGGTAAGGTTCAATGAGCCTTTGGCCCGGATTTTGGGGAGCCAAAGATTTCGGGTCCGCTCTTTGCTGTGCGGCTACATTGAAAAAGTTCGTCACTTTTTTGGTACTGCTGCTCATCCTCAAGCTGAGCAGCCGAAAGCCTTAACACTTAGCCGGGGGCGCTGATGTACCTTTTACATGTTTGACGGTGAGACCTTCGTGGCAGATCTCAGAGACAGGATATCAACATTCTTTCCTTAGGATGGAATCTCTGCTTTCTGTTTACGGCACAATTACCTAGGCACAGCATCGCTTCAATGATGAAGTTTGGGACCCAAAGGCCCTCTGGCCCTTCAGTGAAAGCTCCTCTGTTCGGCCGGAAGCTTCATACGGTGGGCCTTTCATCTTCCTGCGCTTCTGCATCCCTTTACCTCTGAAATCCAGGTCCAAACCTAAATCAGATGAAGCGCTTTCACAGGTCATTGCTCACTCAAAGGAAGTCAATGACGCGCCCGGCTCAGCCATTGCTTTCTCTGACCCCCTCTGCGTAATGTGCTAGCTTCCTAGGGTAAAGGGTGTAGGGAACCTGCTCGCCAGGGCTGCAAAAAACGACATTGAGGGTTCTCCAGTTTGGGTCTTTCCTGAATCTGGGGCTGCAACAGTTATGCTAACTCTTACGGCTGTAAAGCGAGGTCGCAGCACCAAGCGCAGGACCTTATTTCAGGCCATAAGTACTGTTGGGAAAGAGACCCCTCTGTCCTTGCGGATTTGAAGAAATTCCCAACAACCCTGAGAGCGCCGTTCATCCGCAATAGGCCTTTCTGCAATAGGCCTCAAAAGTGACGCTGGATCTTCCTTCGGCTGGCTCGAACAGGGTTGGTCCTCCTGTTGATACGAAACCGCCTGCATGGATCTAAGTGCTGTGAGCCTTGGAGCATAGGTAGGTCAATACTGTAGAAGCTTGAATAGTTGCCGATGCTGTTTCCTTACAATCATTCGAGAATTGCAGTATACTATGAACCCCAAATCTTGTTCTTGTTGTCTGCGCCCCTACATTTGCCATGCAGAATTTCTCAAACGCAGCTGTTAAACGGCTTTTTTGGCCTGAGGTCTTGGTTTCACCGAACAACAAGCTCATAGCTACAGGCGGCCAGGACCCATGTGGACTAAATCCGACCATATGAGCCTACACCTTATAAAGCCCCTATAATTCCCATATAGCCCCCCCCCCCGCTACTTAAAAGTGGATGTACTCCCCCCAAAAATGACATGACCACCCATACAAGCCTCATTACAAGTGGTCAGCTGTTTTTGTTTGGCTCCACTTTTTGCTTTTATGTGTCTCTTGGGGAGGGATAGTACTTGAGCCCCTGAGTGCTATAGCATGTCTCCGTGACTTTGGCATTTCCGAGCTGGGGTTTAGGGTTCAGGGTGTAGATGTTGAGCTTCAGAGGCTTGTGTATGGGAACCTTGTAGTCAGCAAAAGCTGTGATGTGTTTGTAGAAAGCCTTCGACCTGGAGGCGTAACTTCCCGGAGACCGGCCCAAACGAATTCATTCGGGCGGCCGCAACAAACAGATTCTCCTAGTCCTTGTTCAGGGGGACTCCTTCAGCCGAAGCCCGAAAATTCCATTCCCTAGACCCCAAACCCTAGAC